ATATACTTAACTAATTTAAGTATATAGTAAGACCTCTTAGTTAAGGTAATATTAATTAGGCATTAGCTAATATAGCTATAGAGGCAGTAAGGCTAGAATTTAACCCTAAGATCTTTATAGATATTAATAACCTTATTAACAAGGATATTAATTTAGTTATATTAAGTAAAGAATTAGTTAGTATACCTAGGAGTAATAATAATAATAATAGTTATATATTATTACTATTACTACTAATAACACTAATAGCTAGCCTTTTAATATTATAAGGTCCCTTATAATATAAGTTATAATATTACACTATAAAGGATAAAATAGATAGCTAGAAGGCTATAGGGGTTATACTATAAAATTACCTATTTATACCCCTATTAATATAAATAAAAAAGGACTAGTAATATATAGTAAATAATAATAAAAGTAATACCTATATTATAGTAGTAATATAAATTTATAGTTATTATATAAAAAAAGAAAAAAAGGTACTATTATAAAGCCCTTAATTAGGGCTATTAATTAATACTACTCTTGTTATTATATAACGTTATAGGCGTTATTACTTTAAGAAATAAAAAGTTGACTATACTATATAACGCACGCAAAAGTAAGGGTATTCGTGATGGGGGTTGGCAACCCCTTTTTCGGAGTAGCAACCCCATTTTTTCGCCCCCTCCGTGAGGAGGGGGTGTTTAGCTTTGACGAAGGCTGACTAACACCCTCGGGTAATAACTTGGGGTTTTCCAATCCGTCTGGTGTATTTCTTCTCCTTATGTCCTCGTCATCCACATTGTTCCGTATTCGAACATCAGTGACCCCGATTTCAATTACACCATGGCCGATGAACCCCTTCACTCCCGCCTGGTTCAGATCTTGCAGACCATACGGGGCGTTCGCCTGGACGATGACGCTTGGGCGTCTATCCAAGCAGGTGAAGAGCAGCCATCCTTGCATTCACTTACCGTCTGGGCTGCTCTTAGTGCCTACTTGCGACGCAATGGACACGAGAAAGAGAGCGATGCTATCCAGCAGACGTTGAGCATCGCTACCGCGCCGACCAACTTGGGAGGCATGGCTTTGTCGTGGGACGACCCGGTCGCGACCGAAGAGGCTAACGAACTACTTCTTCTGACCTCAGCGTGTATGCAATGCTCCTCCCACTCCCTCCGGGTTCCCCTCTTCGGCGCCTTCGCCACATATGGGTCCGGGGTTGTCTTGTAAAAGTGTTCCGTACAGCGACTGCCGTGCTAACCGGGGCCTTTATTCCTCAGGGCTCGAGTCGTTGAACTCAGCCGAGCGGTACGACGGAGTCGTTGCCGCCCCCCTACTTTCCCGTCCCGCTGGCCGTCCACCCATGAACGTAACGGAGAAGATATTTGCTCTGCACGATCTATCTCATGCCGGTTATGTTAGGACAGGCGACATAATCACTATCTCGGTAGACTGGGTGATGGCGAGTGAAGCCAGCTGGCATGTAAGTCTCAAGCCCTTCCATCTACCCCTCTGCCCTTGCGTCGTCGTCTGGCTGCTTGGTGGCGCGTACTGATCCGGGACCCGGGGCAGGGCATGCTCCAAGCATACAATAAGCTCGGCGACCCGGGCGTGTTCCGCAACGACCGTTTTTGGCTGGCCGGCGACCATTTCGTCGACCCGCGGCTCGCCGACACGCCCCTGATGCAGAGTCTAGTACGTAAAATGGACTTTGCGCGTAAGAGGTTCAAGATGACGCAATTCCAAGGCAATAACTATACTATCATGCATACCGAGTTTTACCGCGAGCGAGCTCAGCCCGGGCAGATCATCATTGGTTCCGACTCGCACACGTGCAGCTCCGGCGCCAATGGCTGTCTGTCCATAGGCCTCGGTGCTACCGAGGTGACTATGGCCTTGGTTACGGGCCAGATCTGGTTCAAAGTCCCCGAGGTCGTGGAGATACGCTTCACTGGCAAGCCAGCCCGCGGCGTCGGCGGGAAGGATATCATCCTGTATATCCTGCAACAGCTGAAGCGAAACACAGTCGCGGCTGACAGGGTGGTTGAGTATACCGGACCTGGCTGCCAATGGCTGAGCCCGGATGCGCGCTTCGCCGTGGCCAATATGACTGCGGTATGTGTGACAATGGCGCCCGTTGACTCTATTGTCGCCTCCCTCCTCAACCCTAGTTGCGCTGCCCACAACCCCCCCCCACCCCGGCCCACCACGTCTCGACCGTTCCTCGTTGTCGTCTAATAGTCCTGGCCTAGGAATTCGGTGGAATCACAGGCATATTCGTTCCCGATGTTGTCACAAAGCACTTCATCGAGTCCCGTAAAACCAACCACCACAAGAAGGCGTCTTACTACTTCAAGGCCGACGAGGGATGTTCCTATGCCGAATTGTACGAGATTGACCTGTCCAAGGCTGAGCCCTCAGTAGCGCGGTACCCCAGCCCGGACGACGTCGTGCCTGTCGGTGAGGTCGCGGGCACCAAGCTAGATGGTGTCTTCATCGGCGCCTGCACCACGGCCGAGGAGGATCTGGTGGCAGGCGCCCTGGTGCTCCAGGCCGGCCTGGATGCAGGCCTCAAGCCCGTCGCTCATGGCAAGCGCCACGTCGTCCCCGGCAGTCGCCCCATCGAGCAGCACTTGCGCAAGACAGGCCTTATCGACATTTACGAGCGAGCGGGCTTCACCATCGGCGTCCCCGGTTGTTCGTTCTGTGTGGGACTCGGCGCCGACATGGCCGCGCCGGGTTCGGTGTGGCTGAGCAGCCAAAACCGCAACTTCAAGAACCGCATGGGCAAGGGTATGTGCACATCGTCGCAGTTTCCGCTTCCCCTTTTACAACCACCAACGGCGTCCCTAATATTGACTGCATGTCTGCACCCCCTAGGCGCGATCGGCTCCTTGGCCTCGGCCGCCACCGTGGCAGCATCATCCTTTGACATGATGGTAAGATCGCCGCAGGAATTGATTGACTCTATCCCAGAAGACCGATGGGACAGTGTCAGAGGAAAAGGTTCGTTGCCTACCGGTGTCTTGGAAGAGCCCATGTGGGTCCAACCCCCGGGGCAGGATAGTGCCATCGGGGCAAACACGACATCGGGTGCTGCCACGGATGCCGCTTCGGACAGCACCGCGACGAATACGCCGCGCAGCGTGGACAAGCCGGCTTTGGACACCATTAAGAGCAAAGTATACCGCATGGGTGACTTTATCGACACAGACGCGGTAAGCATGACGGCACCCGCCGCACCTTTGGCCCGAGGGTCGGTAGCACCCAGGGCAACAGCGTGCCATCAGGCCACTCTGTTGTTTTTCTCCGCTGACTGTTTAAATGCCGCGGCAGCTTGCCCCTGCTCAATTCCTGCTCACGTCCAATACCAACCAAGAGCTGGGGGCTCACTGCTTGGAGAGGACCGATCCTGATTTCCGCGCCGCCGTTAAAGCTGGCTGCGAAGTTGTTGTGGGCGGAAAGGCTTTTGGTTGTGGATCAAGTCGCCAGGAAGCTGTTCAGGCCTTGCTGGGTAAGTTCTGTCCGGAAACAAGTATTCTTGTCTCGTTGTCCCCTCCCCCCCCCCCGGCTCCTCGGCTGCCTTTTGCCCCGAGAGTCTTTCTCCACAGGCAAGGTAGCTCTGCTAATAATGATATTCAATTTCCTTGTTCAGGTATTGGGGTCAAGTGTGTCATTGCGAAGACCTTTGCATTCATCTTCGCTCGGAACATGCCGTCCCTGGGACTATTGGGCTTTACTATCAACAATGACCGATTCTACGAGCTCGCAGAGACGGGCGCCGCCATTGAGATAGACCTGGCCCACAACGCGATGCGGATTGGCGGCGAAGAGTTCACCTTTGCGCTGTCGCCCCTGGAGAAGAGACTGACGGAAATCGGCGGCTCGACCAACGCCTTCTCCAAGTTCGGAAAGCGGATCTACGATGCGCTGACAAGAGGAGTTGCCGTTTCTACGGGTAAGGTACACAAACCAACGGAGAAGCACGAGGGGACTGCAGTCATGGCGTGGTGAAAGACGGGCCACGTTTAACGCGGGTTTTTATATAGTACATTGGTGTAGAGGACAGATGATTCAGAGGATACGTAGAAAAGCACTGCATTCTAGTTTTCAAGTCAAGCTTCAATTGCCATTCTCTGCCCTGTTGTAATCGCATGCTGCTATGCTTGTCATCTCAAATTAATGTAACGGCTTATCTAAGCTATAAATAACTGCCTGTCTAATCTTGAATATTATCAAACCTTGTATAAATTAATGGCGTTTTATTATAGGTATATTCGAGTTAATTCAAAAGTATAAGTTATATAATATTTTGATTTTACAAGTACTATGGTACCAGGCCGAAATAAAATACCCCTGTTACGTATCTTCCTCTAACACTCACCACCCTACTTATTTCAGTAGCAGGCATTACAGTACTGTTTACTAGCCTAGTCAGCTGGACTGTGTGGCGATATTACATAACTGGGGTATTTTATTCCCCCCTGCCACCCTGTATACTTACTGAAACATTATTCATTATTAATAAGAACAACTATTAAATACTATAAATTAGACTTCAGGACTGTGTGGGCGGGGACGTACTGGTACTGACCCCGAAGGCGACTTGGAACAACCTTTGGAAAGAAATCGGCAGGCAAACACGCTCCTGGATCCTTTTTCAGTATTATAAGTTAAACACGAGGCCGTGAGGCGTGGCGCTCGGGATCTCTATTGGAGTGTAAAGACGGGTTCTCCGGGCGGCTGCGTCTCTCGCGGCACAAGGCCATCGTGGTGCGCCGGATCGAAGTTTACCCCCTCAGGCCTGGGGACCCTTCGATGCCGCCCACCCACTCTGCCGCGTCATGCGACCCCGCACTTTCAGTCTTCAGCGGCCGGAAGCTACCTAGCCCACTTATAATGCCATTTGAAGCCCTATAGCCCGCCCAGTAACACAAGAGAGTCAGGGGCCATGAGACCGAATACCAGCTCCACAATCATCCAAACACTTCCCAAAGCTCTTTCGAATATAAAGCGGCTTCTCCTCTAGCCCCCACACCACCCGATACCATCACACCTGCTGCAGACCACCTGCCTGCCGTACGACACCGTCTTCCCCGCAAAACCCCGCCATTTGTACCACACGTTATTGCCGCCACCATGGCCTCCGCCACCAATGGCTCAGATGGCCACAGCGCCCCCAAGGACGACAATAGCAAATATGACCCAAACTTTACACAACATGTTATCGATATGATGAGCCCCGAGACAAAGCCAAGGCACAGGGAGATCCTTTCGTCCCTAATTCGGCACCTGCACGACTTTTGCAGGGAGGTCGAGCTTACGCAGGACGAGTGGATTATTGGCGTTAATTATGTAAACGCTATCGGCCAGGCCTACAAGAAGAACCGCAACGAGGCATGGAGGGTATGCGACATCCTCGGGGTTGAGTCGTGAGTCTCCCGCAGAGCCCTCGAAACTGTCGTGCCCCCCCCCAGCAGCTAAACAAGACGCACGCCTGTGCAACAGGCTTGTTATCGAGATTAACAACAAGATTGTGGCCCCCAATGGCGCCCAGCCCACGTCGTCCGCCATCCTGGGCCCCTTCTGGTCGCCCGATACGCCCTTCCGGGAGAACGGCGACAGCGTAGTCCAGAATATGCCCCCGGACGGGCAGCTTACCTTCTTCCACGGCGTCATCAAGGACGCTGAGACGGGCAAGGGCATCCCCAACGCCATCTTTGACATGTGGCAGGCCAGCACCAACGGCAAATACGATATATTTGACCCCGAGAACCGTACGTATCCCTCAAGCCAGCCAGCCCCCTTTACCTGTAACTACGCCACCCGTCACATCACATGGCACAACCCTCTTGCGGGGACTTGCGGGGAGCAAGCATGACTAACCCGTCCGCCCGCGCCGCCAGAAACCCGCCACAACCTCCGCGGCAAGTTCCGCACCAACGCCGACGGCAAGTTCTGGTTCTACTGCCTCAAGCCGACCGAGTACGCCATCGACACGTCGGGCCCCTCGGCCGAGCTGCTCCGCATCATGGGCCGCCACCCCTACCGGCCCTCGCACATCCACATGATTATCACGCACGACGACTACGTCGGCATCACCTCCCAGCTGTACCCCAGCGACGA